TTATCTGCAGTTAGTTACACGAATTAAGATATGGGATGAAATCGGATAGAGATGAACGGGTTTAAGAGTTTTTAAGAGTTTAAGAGTTTTAAGAGTTTAAATAGTTTAAGAGTTTTAAGAGTTTAAATAGTTTAAGAGTTTTAGCCAAATGCTTTATAATATAGTATAGATATATATAATTATTAGGATGTTCATCAATTTTTCATTTATTTTACAGTTCTTCTTTGAACTTGACTCAAGATAGAGAAACTTGGAATCATGTGAGATCGGATTGTTTTGTGAGACCGATGAGACAACATAAATGACATTAAACCTTCACAGTGTTTTTGATGTGAAAGGTAGATGTTTTTTGTACCTTCACAGTTCACAACAAAAAGTCACATAATTATTAGATGATTATCATATCATAAAAATTCTTCAATTTATCAAATCATTATCACATTATTACCATTGCAAATCATATTATTATCATATAATTACCGACAACGGACACATCGACATAAATAATCTTCGATGATAATAATAAAATTTAAGGTAAAAGAATAAATTTAGGATAACAGAAAATTATGAAAAAAATACTTATTTATTTTTATTTGTTATAATTTTTATTGTCTGTCAATTAATTTGAAGGCCCAGAAATGTTCTCGTATTTTCATAAAACATATATTTTTTTCGTTTGAATCTTTCCCCACTCACACACACACATATATATATATACACACACACACATACACTATAAGGGTATTCGCACAATACAATGAGATACATATCGATTTTAATATTTTATTTTATTATTTGTATATGTCGATATTATAATACAGTTTTATAATATTTTGACAAATCGATAACATTTCTATGTTTTAATAAAATATAAATTTGAAAACCTTATAAAAATTTGAATTTTTTTTCATCGATGTTACCATCAAAATAAGTACTTAAAAGTTCACGTTTTTTTTATAATTTGTTTAATTCAATTTTCATTATAATTTAATTTGGATTTATAACAAAGTAATTTATTTTCGGTTTAACAATATAATATTTTTATAAAGATAATAATTAAATATTTTGTTAGAACCCAATGATTA